TCACATCTATCAGAGCCACAAACTGTAAAAACAGAAAGAATTATTTATCTGTGATTCGCCTTTGCCCAGAAAAATTAACCAAACATCTTGATTTTTCAACAAAACCTTATTAAACATTTAAATTAAATATAAAACTTTTAAAATTCACCAAATATGACTCATTTGCTCAAACCAGATTTTTACAATCCTCGGCACAACCGTGAAGCTACTGGTGACCGTTAATACAGAATTTATTTTCCCTCAAAGCCGACTCCAGATGTCAAACTCATCATAACAGTGAAATCGAGTGAACGATGCTGCTGTCAAACATTTCTACAGCGAGTTTACGACGGTGTCAGCGGACGGCAGGACAAAGACGAGGATCCACATCAACTAGACTTCATCCACCTCCTGGTCATGACGTCCCAACAAACTGAATGTCAGTCACATTTTAGGCTAACGTGTGCCGGAACCACCTCGTCACCGATGATGAGAAGGTGTTTTCCACACTTGGGAAGCTTTGAAATCAATCCCACGGTGCTCCTGTTGGTTTGAATAAAACCTCTTTGTGCCACATGTGTTTAAAAGTGTGGTTTGGCGGCACATAAACACGACTCACCAGCGCTCGGTCTGCGTAGTCGACACGACAACGTCACAGAGGAGGAAAACGTCAGCGGGCTTTAAACCAAAACTGGTCAAAGGAAGAGAAAGATTGAAGATTGTTCAGCCCCTGACAGAGTTGTCTGGTTGTGTTCATACATTGTGTACCTTCCACCTTGTTGTCGTGTGCGTCGCCAACTGTAAGCAGCAATAAAGTCTGATTTGATGAATAAAACATAAAATATGAAGCGACACGGTTCAAATTAAATCTACAAATTGAGGCCAAATGCCAATAGAGGACACATCAGAGGTGACAGACGTGCCTGCACTCGTGGAGATCAGATTAATAAACGTGTTTGTTGGAGCTTTACATGCAAATTGTTTCTTGAACATCCTGTGTTTTTATGACTCCCTGGAAGCACCGTCCATGCCGGCGAGCGCCTAACTGGAGTGTAAAAAAACGCAGGTGTTGCTCACACGTGCCGACACACATGCGTGCGTCCTCGTCGTACCGACGGACGTTACGTATCGGGTCGGACGGATCTGTCGTGGGTCAGCTGAGTGTGGTGCTACTCGTTCCTTCTCATCTCTGTGGGTGGTTTCGTCAGGATTTGAAAAGACATCTGTTGTGAGGCTCGGTAGCATTCCTCTCAGCCCTGAAACCACGATAATAACCCTCGGCTTGTCAACAGGAGATCATCCAGCAATTGAGGAGAGATGGTTGGTGGACGAGGTGGGTGGTGGCTGCCGTTCATTCACACCTGAAGTGGATAAGAGAAGAGAAAATACAACGAAGGAAGGCTTTTCTGTTAAAAAACGAGCACTTTCATTAAGTTCACGTTGCCTCTGTGGCGTCAATAAAGCATATCTGACCTCAATCAAACTGTCAAAGAGCTGCAAGAAGCGCACGTGCATATGAGTGATTTCTCAACCACAAGCTGAACAGAGTGCAGGGTGGTGCAAGGCAAAGGAAGTCACTCAGAGCACTAACATGAAATGGATGGGGAGGCTGACAAGCTGGTAACGGCGTGGGGGAGGAACGAGGGCGACGCAGGTGAGAGCGGGGGGACCGTGACGACAAGACGGTTGTGATAGAATTCGAAAAATTTATCCTTGAGTCGGCCATAAAACTTTAAGAAAGGCAGGGGTGGAGGCTGCGTCAGGCATTTCAGCCGTAATGGGTTATAAAGCGGGCTCCGTCTCAGCCATCTCTGCCAGAGATCATTGTCCTCATCCTTGGGGGAGGTGACAGGGAAGGAGTGGTCGGCCGGTCCTCGCTGCGAGAAATGACCCAAAGCAGGTAGAGGCTCGAGCACGGAAATTACAGAGCAAAAGCTGCCTATGCCATTTTAAAGAGGCCCCCCCGAGGGCTTTCTCAGCCCTCAGTGTACAAGCAGGTTTGTGTCTTGCAGCTCATGGATGCTAACTGTACTGTCTGCTCACCAGGCTGCCACTTGCAAAATGCAAAAGTCTCTTTCCTTTAAAAGCGATTGTGAAAGAGGTTCGGCCTGCATGCAAAAACAAAAAACTCTGCTGGTTTCTCACTCGCTGCTGTCTAGAGACTACAGACTGGTTTATTTTGCATTGACTTCTTCTTGCAGAGCTTCGTCCAGAATAGTGGACGTGAGCTTTTCGAGTTTTGTGTGTGAGGTCACGGATTTCATTTCTTTATCAAAACCAAGCCCCCTGTTTCTCTGGAAAACCCACGAGAGACTCCATCATCCTTCGGGACCCTGTTTTCTCAGAGAAAGCAGCTCCAGAAGAGCTTCTCATAGTGACGTTGATGGGACGTGACCTGAGTCACCAGGACACTATTTGTTGGGTCGCCACAGGAGACCCAGAATCCTCGGCGATATTTCAGCAGAGCTAGAAATTAAGATCCAAAAATAGGATATCACAACCTGGACAAACAAAAGCAAAACTCTGTGCACGGACGGACACCGTGGGAGTCTAATTTGCATGGACTAACCTTTTGAATACCACATAGATTGTCTCCTCTTATGACTAGAAGGTTGACTTCATAGCTGGTAAAATGCTCTCATGCTGCAGCCGTCCTCCCTCTGTGGGGATATCAGTGGCTTCATCTTCTCTCCTTGCGCTGTGTCCATGCAAAGCAAACTTTAGAGGCACACAAAGTCATTGCAAACGTTCAGTTAAGACCCCAGAGCAAGGCCACCTTCATGCACGTGATGCAAGCAGAAAATCTGCCTCACTTTCCCGTCCGAGCACACCTCCATCAGCAGTTACTGAGATGCTGTAATTTCCACAGAGGCTGAGGTGTCGCCCTGTTTCGGTGGATGTATTTTCCACATCATTCGTGGGACCTGTGCTGCCTTCTGTCACCTTCTATGGTGCCGCAACAAAACCTTCAGAGAATGGAAACGCAGCGTTGACTTCATGAAAACATTTTTATTTTGCTGTGAACCTCCTCATCATCCCGTGATTCTGAGAGTTCAAATCACCGACTTACTGCTTACAACACAGATATTCCCCTTGTCATAGTTGTTTTTCTGTGGATTACTCACACAGCAGCTATGAGTAATAGACGCAGCGAAGAGAAGGTCCAGATAGCGAGGGCATTAGAGAGGAAGAGGAGGAGGTGGAGCCGGGGAGAGCTGAATAGGAGGTGATGAATGAGATGACTGAAGGCAAAGAGAAAGAGCGAAACAGTGAGAGAGAGAAGTGGATTTTAAATTACATGGTGGCTCATGTCAGCAGCTGTAATTAGTAGCTTGGTCAGGTGTGGTGAGTGGGACAGGAAGTTTGAAGAGAAGGGCAAAACACCCAAAAAAAAAAAAAAACCAACATGAAGAAGAGCCGAGGAGGAGTCCACCTGACGTGCTGCACATGAACTTCCCTGAATCGGAGAAAATCGACGAGAGCAGCTTTAACAAAGACGACAAGTTGTCAGACAGGACGGGAGCACGGCGGCGGCGGCGGCGGCGTTCACGGCGCGTGTCGAGCGCGTGGAGAACGAGTCTGAAAATTCATACAATTCCTCAGCTGGCTGGCAGCCTGCCAAGTCAAATGTTGCTTTTGGAGAAAGGAACAAGAGCAGAGACGAGAAAAAAAAAAGCCCAGCTACAGACAAACCTACAGCATGATCCAAGTAACAACACATCCTGGACCTCAGAACCTGCTGGGCAGCACAGGGGGACACAAGTCGACACCAGAACACACCATTAACTCGCTCGCTTGTCATCATAAAGACTTTGTACAGCTTCACATTGCAGCATCTCGCACTGAGCAGCTTGAACATCGAAGCAGAAGGAACAGATAAGATAAGAACGCATCTAAGTCAGGGGTGTCCAGTCCTGGTCCTGGAGGGCCACAGTCCTGCATGTTTCAGACGTTTCCCTCTTCCAACACACCTCAAATGATCAGCTCATCATCAAGCTCTGCAGAAGCCTGATAACGATCCTGATCATTTGAATCAGGTGTGTTGGAAGAAGGGAAACATCTGAAACATGCAGGACTGTACACCCCTGATCTAAGTGGTTCTACTTGGGTCAGAACTGAACCAATCTCTGAAACAAAGAGTATAAAAAAGGCAAGAAGACACAGTGAAGGAACCCCTAAAAGTCTGGACTGGAATCCAGTATCTCTCATGATGTTCTGACGGTCGATTAAAAGGGTGAATCTGACACAACAAACCGAAAATTGTCCTTGACTTGGAGAAAATTCCAAGAATTTCGTTGAGTTTCTTGCATGTGCATCTCATCTCCCGACTTCCTAAAGCTCACGATCAACAAGTGTCCGTGTGAGAAAGTCACATGAGCAACACTCGGGGCGGAAACTCTTCTGCTCGCAGCTGTCGGTGAACATTTGGATATTACATTTCTTCATATTGGGCGAGTGTCACCTTACTGACGGTCTAATTAAGCTGCAGAACGTAACAGAAATGACTGAGAACGATTCAGTTTGGCTTCAGACTGCTGCAGGAGATAAAGTTGTTGTTTCAGGTGTGTTTTTGATTGTTTGTGTGCAGCCTTTCAGTCCCAGAGGACCTCCTGTGACATGTTGAATATTTTAATTGAACTGGATGAGGTTCAACTTCAACATGTATGAAAGAAAAATGAGCTCATCTCCTCTGACTGACTTCCGAACACAACACAGGTATGTATGCCTCCCTCTCACCCACAGTGTCAGAAAATGAAGATGCATTTGGGTGATCCGGACATAGCTGTGTGACAGGCACTGCAAACCCCCCCACACTCTGGAGAAAGCTTGTTGCCCCGGGGCAAGAGAGTGACACACACACAAACACTGTCCAAGGAGGAGTCATGGGGCAAAGAGGTGGAGGGGGGAGGGAGCACGAGAGGAAAAGGGAGTGTATCTTTCTCTCTCTCTTACTCTGTCAGAGACGCACACCTTCCCTCCTCCCTCGCAAGAAAAGAGTCGCGGACTGGAGCTGCGCAGTCAGTCAGTCACAGCGTCAGGTACTGGAGAGGCTGAGGACCACAGAGGACAGACACCGGTTGCTCAGAGACACCCCAGCTGGAGGAGGGCACCGACAGCCTGCCCTATGTGTGGATCCTCTCAAGGCTTCACAGTAAGTGTGCAACATTTATCTCAGATCATCTCATTGATATAAAACAGATCCTCTGCGTTAGATGTTTCTCACTGATTGATTTGTGTCTCTGCCTCGCGGCACCGTCGCCCTGCGAATGTCAAACTGAGGCGAAGAGTGCTTTCTAGAGTCTTACATGTTGTCCCACGAGCCCCAGCTGTGCGCTTTTGACTCATGTCTTGATTTTTCAGAATATATTTTCTGCTGTGTCACCGGGTTCAACGGTTTCGGAGTGAGGTGTCACACTTGTGACAGTCATTCCGAGTCAGCTGTGGTGACACACTTCAAGAGAAAAAATAGGGTGAAACGTTGTCCATAAATCTCATCTCTCTGCACTTTTATTTGCATTTCCTTCTTGTTTCTCGCTGAGAATGAGCTGACAGAGTTGTTGTTCTTGCACCAAATGTGCCACTGATGTAAGTTAAAGTGCAAGATCTCTGCTAACTTATCTCAACTTTTAAAAAAATCAAAAGGTGAATGAGCTTACTGACCAAAAATTGTGCCAAATTTTTGGAAATGTTCACACTGGTTCACTCAGGTTTCAGTTTGGTTTAAGTTTTGAGTTGAGTTTGATCTCACGTCAGGAGGGAACACAAGTCACATGAGCGCTTACCAAATATTACCCACACAGAGCTTATCAGCTCACTATCTCAGAGGCAAACAGATGAGCCTGAAAAGGAAGACGCAGCGAGACGGCACATCTGAGCATTGTCTTTTAATCACAAGACTTCCTCCGTCTTCTTCTTCTTTTCGCTCTTCTCTGTTTCAGAGTTTCATCCCATCAGTCAGGGCGCTCTGCCTTTGTCCGGGCAGAGCTCTCTGACAACAATCTTTCTGAGAAGGGAGGGACAGATAGTGAGTAACCAGCAGATAGAGAGAGAAAGAGTTCAAACCTGGCTGAGAGCCAAGTCTCGAGTCAGCTCAGAGGAAGTCTGGTCGATTCACTGGGAGCGCTGGTTTCCTCGTGAAAGTGGTCCTGCTCCGGGGGCTGACGTGCACAGGAACCTCCCTCGTAGCCCGGGGGTTGCGATTCGGAGAGTCACAGGATGTATGGGACAGTGGGGCCAATGGGGCAGCGAGCACGAAGGTTCCACTTTGAAGTTTGTTTGTCCGGTAGTAGCAGTGGATGGGAAAGTTAGATCCTTCATCCTTAACATCCCCCAACTTGCCTGCCGCTGCCTCATAAGTCACACTTCGCACCTAATTTTAGCTCCATTCAAATCCTCGCTTCCTACTACATCTGTTGTTTGTGCCGTCAGTGTTTTTCCCTTAAATTCTGACAAAAGAGAAAAAGATGAAAGGAGAAATGTGTCATCGCTGAGTAATTACACGTCAGCCCATTGTCGAATTTTGTACAATACATCCGACATAATGGACCCTCAGCTGCTCTTTTCCCTGACTGGTGACCATCTTCTCTGCAGGCCTACTCCTGTGAGTGCACCACAGCCATGTTAACCTCGGAAAGGCCACCGCAAAGCGCGGGGATCGCCGCTGAAGCCATGCAGCCACGGACGCCGGACGCAGACATGACCTCGTGGAGCGAGGCCGACTTTGAGGAGAAGTGCACTTACATCGTGAAGGACCAACCTCTGGACGAAGAAAACCACGGCAGGACGCGAGCTGAGCGATCCTTACCCAGGAACCTGGCCCTGAAGCGCTGCCACAACGCAAAAGAGGTACGCAATGCTTCAAGCAAGGCAAGAAAATTATGATGATCAAATACCACAACATCTAAGCAGCTAAGTACAATAAACAATCACGCTTTTGGTAACGGCCGGCTCCTTGCGTCACGCCGACATCCTTCCATCCACTCATCCATCTGCAGGCGGGAAACACTTGACGTGTTGTTGTCTAATTTGAGCCTTTCCTCTCTGCTATGTGTGTGTGGAGACAATAGCCTCTCAGCACTCAGCCCGAGGACTCTATGATTAGCAGCTATCTGAGATTCCCATCCCCCCTTTTTTGTCCCAGCAGAAAATTACACCATAAAGCAAAGCCGAGATACTGGGACCCATAATGTGGGAGATAATCCTCTGAATTTAAGTGTGTTTGCGAGGAGAGTACTTTAGGAAATCAGAGATAGCGTGGTGAATGCATGATAAAGAATCAAGCCCAGAGGCCTACATATGAAGAGAAAACAGGTTTCTTCTCTCCTGAAGCAGCTAAATACCTGCATTACAACTTTGACCTTCCAGCGAGACGAGTCTGGAGTCTGGAGTGGTTGACACCAAAGAACAGGATATGTCGCAGTCGTCTGTGACACAAGGGCACCTGAAATGGAGCCAAGAGCAAAACCAAACTGGAGATAAACTGTACGGCTAAGCATGGCTGATCAAGCTGTGTACACTGTGCTTGTATTGCTCCGAGATGAAAGAGAGAATACATTACCATTGCTTTAGGGGCTTTTTTTTTTCAACACGAAGCTCGAGGTGCATTTAACCTGTTTGGGGTGTGACCATGACACCTTATCCACTCTTCCCCACCCTGGAGGCTTGAGACAGAGGGGTGAGTTTCACACCTGGAGGTAGCAGAACAAGAGTAGTGGTGAAATTTTAATATGGTGTAGAAACTAAAGATAACTGGGGTGATTGGCCTTATGAAATATTCAGCATGTGAAGGAAGGAGCACATTCTGTCACAGCCTTTACACAAAAAAAAAAAAAGTTTCTCTCAGGAGGATTCGTCAGGACAGCCAATATTTAGTAATAAGAACAAACGTGCTTAATTGGTTATTTCCTTTTCTCCGCATAGTTGCTCTCAAGGGGCAGTTTTCCAGCGAATTGACCTGATTCTGTTGGTTAATCACCAAGAAAAGATGGAGAGGCAGATAAAGAGAAGTGTATTCCCAAGATTCTCATCCCTCTAATTATGTTTTCCAGCTCAGAGTGCATCCGGCTGCTTGCTCAGGCCTCCAATTTGTGAAGCTGCTCTGTTGTTTGATGATGTTTCTCCGTCCTCCTTCTTGAACAGGTGCTCGGGGTTACCAGCAAGGAGCTGATTCCTAAGGGGACGCGCTTCGGCCCTTTGCTGGGGGAGACCTACACCAACGAAACCCTGCTGAAAGACGCCAACAGAAAGTACTTCTGGAGGGTGAGACTCTGGATTTGTACACTTGCACGCAAAATTCGACTGTGCGTGTTTCAAAACTGTTCACATCCTGTAACGCCAGCCAGAGACGCCGTTGTGGTTTTGGCGTTAGCAGCTGTGGTCAACGTTTGACATCCTGTGAGAGTGTCTGCCAAGTGCATGGGCACCGTGAAATGACGCTCGATGTTTTAAAAATTTCTCATGCACCGTATACGTACGTTTGCCAGCTCCGTGCACGGCAACCTGAGGTCACGCTCACACACACACACAGCTGTTTGGTTTCAGTGACGCAGCGGTTCTCCTCCCTCTCCGCTTCGCTCAGTAGTGGTATCACTGCCAGTAAACACACCATGCACATGTCCGCACTTCTCCAGGCTCACAAGCTCTCGCACTGACTAAGCGAGGAAGTGGCTTTTGAGCCTGAGAACTGTTAGGTTACAAATCAACAGCATAAGGGCATCTTCCATTACACACACACACACACACACACACACACACTCCTGTGTAATTCGACAGTGTGGAGTCAGCAACCTTGAAATCATGCAACACCAACCAAAGCTTGCAACAGCCATAACACAGACAATCTGGTCATATTATAGCCATGACTCAAACAGCAGCCCGGCTTCACAGTTTCACACAGCATAAAGAACACGTTTATAGACCTGAAAGCGGGGGCAGATAACAAATGTGATAAGTAATAGGTAACATAGCAATACTACAATCCAGTCATACGGTGAAATTCAAGCTACTTTCACAACTTGAGATGACTGGCATGCGACAGAGAACCGTCTCAGCTGAAAGAACTCGCAGTATTTACCATAAAGGCGTCAGGAAACCGTGACATCATGGTTTCAGATCTGTTGACGTTTCGTCATTAACCGAATTATCGCTCATCTATTCGTGTATTCTCGCTGCTCTCACACTACAGGTCTTCTCGGAGGGGCGCTTACACCACATCCTGGACGGTTTAAAAGAAGAGCAGAGCAACTGGATGCGCTACGTCAACCCGGCGCGCACCGTGGAGGAGCAGAACCTGGTGGCCTGCCAGAGCGGCTTGGACATCTTCTTCTATACGGTCAAAGCCCTTCAGCCGGGGCAGGAGCTGCTGGTGTGGTACTGCTCTGAATTCGCCCAGCGCTGCAACTACCCTCCACTGGGCCAGCTGGCTATTGATAATATTGGTAAGTGTGCTGGTGTTTGTCCACTCAAAACGAGTGTTTGCTGAAGTGAACAGAAACCGTCCCCGTGCCCACGCTTTGAGACATATCTGGTATGCACTGTCACTGTGAAGTCAAAAGCGCCGGCCGACTGACACACTCTTTGTGTGGGTGTTTAAGAAGTTACTCAGTCACACCCAGAGCTCCTTTGTTAAAAGCACAGCACAAAGGAGGACAGTGGAGTCCTGAAAGCAGAGAGGGGCTGTCTCCAGGTGCAGCCACAGAACCACAGTAACGTGAGACAAATTTCAGGATTTCAGCCCAAGTTTCCCCCTTCTTTTTTTAAAACCCTGGCAGCTCATTCACACTCCAACCATTTGGCTTTCATTCACAAACACAAAGAGTGCACACGCTAGCAGGCAGACCACATGCACGCAGCAAAATACTCATTTACACACAAGACGCTGCTGGAGGTGCTGACAGCATTCTGGCACGACTCCTCTTATTTATTTGGCTCTTAAGAGGGAAGAGAGGTAGGAAGTGCTCCAGTGACTACTTGAACTTCCTGACAAGGTGACTTGCTGACAGATTGATATCTCGCTGAGTGTTTGTTTGCTGGGAGCTGTCCTCGTAGGGCTGGGGTGAGGGTAGCAGGGGGGAGTGAACAAGAGATAAGGCTTGCTCTTTTTTTTTGATGTTAACTGTGTCCAAGAGTATGAGGGATACGCATGCATATCTCTGTGTTTTGTCTTCTTCTGTTTGTCAGCTTGAGTCTTTTTGTCTGTTCTGGTCTAAGTCAGTGAAGCTGAATCTCTCCTTGTGACTTCCTAACGTGGAAGGATTTGCTCAGATGGAATACAGATTTGGATCCAGATGTGCACAATTTAGTGGAAAATAAATACTATTTATAGGATAGTTATTGTGCTGTGACTGATAAATATTGGAATCTGTGGTTTAGGAGTCACTGTAAGATTCAGAGTTGTTCCTTGTATCCTGTATCCTGTGCTGCTTGTGAGAGAAAATGCACTTACAACTGAGTGGGCCTCTAATGCAAATAACACACTGTATCCACTGCCTGGCCTTCATGCTATCTGTATCCTGATCAGACCCCCATTGTTTCACTTCTGGTGTCCACTTTCACAGAGTGGAAGGGTTTGGGAGGCACAGACAAGCTGGTAAAAGCACATTTGGATAGTGATTTGAACTCAGAAATCACAAAAAAATGTGACTGATCACACTGTTTTCGTAACCGTATGTGTCCCTCAGTTGAATGATTTGACTGTTACTCCTATCGTTCGCTGCTTTCACCTGTCTCTGATGTAATTTCCCCATTGTTCGTTCGTCTCACAGAACAGACTCGTGAGAGGACCACAGGGAAACGAGGACACAGCGTCTCTGAAATCCTCCGAGACGAGCCCTCCACGTCCCTGTCTGCACGCCCCAGACGTCTGGACAGCCCTTTGTCTCAGACCAGTGGTTTTCCCTTGTGCCCCCGTCTTGTCTACCCAACCTCAGAGTCTATCCACGGTCACAGATATGCACCTCTTCCATCTCTGCCCTCCTGCAGCCCTCCAGCCGCCAAAAGGCCAGCACTAAGCAGTCCTGTCCCCTCCAGTTTGCACTTCACCTTTCAGCACAGTCAAGGCCCTGTTGTAGCCAAACCTTACCAGGAGCCCTCCTTGCCTGACCACGTTCATCCTTCCCTGAGGCACGGCCCTTACCTGCTGCCTCACTACTCCCTCGGCCTTCTACCTCACTCGTACCCGTTCTACAGCGATCGCCTGAAACCTCACCTGAGCCTCTCATCTCACGTACTGCCTTTCGACAACTATGCACACCTCTTCCATCCCTTAGCCAACAGCTGCAAAGACTTGACACCATCCAAACCAGACCTCACTCTTTCACCCACCAGTGGCCACAAAGACAGCACGGACCTCGTATCCAAAAGGACAAACTACCTCAGGATTCCCTTCAGTGACCTCAGAGATTTCAAACCTCCCAGAAACGTTCACGCAGACCTCACTGTACCCGCCACATCCAGTGCCTCGTCCATGGTGACTGAGCTCCGCAGAGCTCTGCCCTCTCTGGCGCCCGGAGGATGCTCACCGCCTGTGGGCATGGCCGCCTCCTCAAACTGCCTCCCTTCCAAACCTACCTCCGCAACTCAGAGCAATACTGAAGACGCGATGGACCTCAGGAAGACCAAAGGAGGGGGAGGGCAGATCATCGGCTACAAGACCCTGTCCTACCCTCTGACCAGGCAGAACGGAAAGATCCGGTATGAGTGCAACATCTGCGGAAAGGTCTTTGGGCAGCTGTCCAACCTCAAGGTTAGTTCCTCTTTAAGTAGGGTGGAGGAAAACGCTGTTAACTTAAGTGACTTGAGGAATTAGAAAATACCAGCTGTGGTGATTTCTTGAGTTTGAGAGAACAGATAAATGTGAATATTGATCTCTAACCTGCTGTCCTCAGGTCCATCTGCGAGTACACAGCGGTGAACGTCCCTTTAGGTGTCAGACCTGCAACAAGAACTTCACCCAGCTGGCACACCTGCAGAAACACTACCTGGTTCACACAGGAGAGAAGCCGCATGAATGCAAGGTAAAGCTCCAAATGTGACTGAAGTAGGATCTGTTGCATGACAACTGGAAATCACACTGTAAAAAAAAAATATCTGTGCAGTTGTTAAATCTAATTTTTGAACATTATTCTATAAATTCACCATTTTGTTAAGTTAAAGAACAATAATCAGTAAAAATCACCAAAAAAAGGTATTTGAAATTGTACGTTAGCTCTAATAAAGCAGGCCACCACTGCAAATAACATCCACATCAAAAATCTGTATTTGTTCTTTAAAACATTTGTCTGTATTAAAATCAGAAAAAAATATAATTATTTTACTGATTTTTTCTGTTACTTGAAAGAAACTGTTTTGAAATTAAATGCAAATTAAGGATTGGAAAAGATAAGATCTCGTTAAATCACCAATATTAATCATCCTCACTAATTTACATACTGACTGTAAAATAAATTACAACAGCCTAAACAGTGGGTGACTGTAAAACAAACTCTGTACATTTGCACGTTTTTACATCCAGAAAGCTGAACAAAAAGGAGTAATCGTGACTAAATCAAAATAATAAAAGACTCCTCCACGTATGCTCCTCTGCTCTGTCTGGTCACAGGTGTGCCAGAAACGATTCAGCAGCACCAGTAACCTGAAGACCCACCAGCGGCTACACTCGGGCGAGAGGCCTTACCAGTGCAAGCTGTGCCCGGCCCGCTTCACTCAGTTCATCCACCTCAAGCTCCACAAACGCCTCCACAGCGGCGAGCGACCGCACCGCTGCCCTCACTGCCCCTGTGCCTATCTCCACTACTGCAGCCTGCAAGTGCACCTCCAAGGCTTCTGCCCTCTCTCCCCCTCAGCCTCCCACAGACACTCGCCGGAGGAGCTGCACCGAGTCAACTCCGAGATCGAGAGGTTCGACATGAGTGAGGCGGCAGAGCAGCTCGAGGCCATGGCTGCAGAGGTCGACATGGACAAGGGGAATGTTATTGACCTCTTACAGAAAATAGAGTCTCACGTCTCGGGCCACCCCGACGGTGCCAGAGAGGAGACTGAGCTGATCGTCTACCGATCTGCAAAGGAGTGCTCTGGTATTCAGCTGCATCATGGCAGCCCTGTACCTCTGCATCCAACCAGCATCAAGCTGGAGTCAGGCTGCATATCAGAGCCCTAAGAGAGCCCTGCTAATCCACTCATATAATCCTTACAGGTCAGCTCAGCAGCTGTCTCTTACTGCCCTATTTGAAGTAAAGCCTTATCTCAATCATGGACTGCCTCGCCGAAACGCTACAGACTCTGCAGCTTGTGAAGAATCAAGACTTTCCCAGCACGGCCTGGGACCAGTCACTTCACTGATTTAATGTATTTGTTAATTTATTACGTTGCTAACTGTAATCTGAGACACACGTTTGTGGTATTTTTCTGCTATTTGTTTTGTATCACTGGAACACACTGATGGAATAACAACTAAACTGATTATGCATAAAATGAGTTTGCATTCTTTTTGTGGTTTCACTGTGTGAGACTGAGTGTTTCTGTTTGTGTAGGTGTGCGTATTTATGTCTCCTGATTAAAGTGACGATTACTGTACGAGCATGACTGTGTAGTGTAAGTGAGCTCAGCACCGAGGAAACCTCAGCTGTTTGAACCTGCAATACGTACACTTCTGTTGATGATGTAGATAAACATCCTGTTATGAGTCTTGGAATACTCACCACCAGCCAGCACCAACCTGTCACCCAAGGGGAAAAAAAACACAATAAAAGACGCACAACAAAATTCTTTGCATCAGCAATAAAATTCCATTTGCACCCATATTTTGAGTTTCGGTATTAATCAGGTGGTAGACAGTTCCCTCCCTCAACAGATAGCTCTACAGTTCATGCGCAGATGTAAAAATAACAGAAGCGGATTATTGTTAATGTTATTTCTGAGTATGAGAACAAACATTTACTGATGATAAATCATAGAAAAAGCATTAATGCTACACAGATATGCAACATAAATGCATCCCAGCGCAGAAGGACAGACGTGTCCTGCGACTTTCTGCTGCCATATCCTTCTCTGATCTCATTACAACTTAAAAGGGTGTCAGGTGGCAAAAGGCTCAAAGTGGCCGTGCATTGACGAGACAGCCACGGAGCTGCACGCTTCCTCCCTGCTGATGACGAGTCACTGATCAGATCACAGGGTGTCTACCAGCTGCTCTGGAGCTTCTCCTCCTGGGAGAGGAAAAGAAAGAAGGACGGCCCAACGGGTATCAAAAGCAGCTCATGCAACCTGTGACCTCTGTGGATGAGGGCAAATTCAAACTGAGATCAATAAGTAGGTCAATAATGTTTCTGATAAAACAACTTCCAACAAAGGCTGAAGTTGTGAATATTTAATGAATAGCCCAGGATAGGAAAAAGGAATAGTAATAATAATAAACCCTGTTTATTATTCTAATCATGTGTTAAAGCCCTTTAAATAATATGACATAGTTGATCAAAAACATTGAGATACTTTGCTGTCATGTCAGATGCTTTTCTGTGAAGTTTTTTCTACTTCAGTCTGACAGTTTGCAGCTTCCCCATAATTACATACAGAATGTGACCTCTCCATTCATCAAGTCAACTAACAAACTGTAGCAACAGGCAGCCGAGTAGCAACGGAAACACGTTTTAGTTGTATTCCCTTTTGTATTGTATTGACGACAGCTTATGACTGTGCTGTAGGCTGCTGTAGTCATTGGGCTATGGGCACACTTCTCAGCACAGACAGCAGATTGGCTCTGATTATAATTAGTTATTTATTTGGGGTATTGTGTTATGAAACTTTATAGGTGAACATTTTCTCCTCACCAGCAACTGGATCTGTTCTCCTGGACTGTTTAAAGGCCCATTCAATTAAATTATGATTCAATAAAATGGATTTAAAACAACAACAACAAGTATTTCTGTGTGATTACAGCTGCGTAAATTATCATAAATTAGATTAATCCCAAGACACACAGTTAGAGAACCGCTGGTCTCGCTCGCCGGCTCTCGCTGTGAGATGAATATGGAACATGGGTTTAGCTCACTGTGCCTGGAGCACATTTTATATTCATGGGCCGAGCTCCCGACGTGTCAACGTCCTGACAACGCCTCTGGTTTCCACAGCAGAGGGCAGGTGTGTACAGTTACACACC